ACCAGACCATGAGGAGATAGCAAGCCGCTCATTCCCAGCTTTCCGGGATTTGAGGTGGTATGGGTGACTCCTCAAAGGGTGCCTACGTGGATCAGGTTATACAAGCTGTAGATTCGCCTCAAGACGATCTCTCCAGTTATCAGACTCCTATTATGGAGGTTTTTCCTCTTTCGTCTTATATTGTTCAGCAAAAGAGAAGATGTGTAGCCCTCTCTATGATTTTAATCCTTAGCCTTGGGGTGACATTGTTCCAATTTTGGCAGTTATCAAATTACATTGAGAATGTACATATTTCCGGTTCTAGCTTAGCGAGAGGATATAATAGGAGAAGAAAAAAATACAATGAAAACGGCAGACAAAATACAATATAAGTTGTCTAGAACCTGGTTGTTGTCAGGACATATATGTGTAGGAAATGGTAAACTGACCTTATATAAGGTGAACTGTTTGGTGATGAGTTAATCTCGGGCTTCCAGGATCTTCGTCGAATCCACGTGCGGGTGATCCTTTTCCGCTGTTATAGTCTATTTCTCTCGTGTCTTTGCACCGGAGCCATATCTCAACTCTTCCTTATGACACTCCATCTGATAGCCATTTGTTGTCTTGGGCCATCAGACTGTCGGTTTGTAGGTAGCCACCTCCTCCAGTCTCTCTAGCCTTACAATCACACTCGTGTTCGTTTGTATTGATGACTGGTCCTCTATAAGCCGTACAGGCTTAATAGATAGAGTGTTCCTGCTCACAATGTTTACATTACTCAATAGCAATAATAACTTCTGTAATCTCACAACTATAATATGGCATACAGATGATGTTACACATATAGATTATTGAGATGTGCACTAATATTATATGCCTAATTGGTGCATCAATTTCTCTTGTCAACTGACTAAAGAGTTCGGCATGAATATAAATGATTGGGTGACATTTTATATTTAGGATTGCATAATGTGATAGTATTCTCAACTAGAATTTCACCTATTTTTTTGAGTTTGGCTCACAGGTCCTCGGCCCATTTCTTCTTTCTTTATATTTCCTTGCCTCTACTTTCCACCTTATAGTCGCCTCCCCACCCTTTTTTCCTCCTGGCCTGGCCACCAAGCACCGTGTTGGTCCAAGCCAGAAGTCAGAGGCGAACACCCTCAAGCAAAGAATGGCTCATTTCAGTAATTCAAAGGCTGTTTTTCCTCTCACACTTAATGTTATGCAGTTTAGGAAAGGCAAGTCGCAGCCATAGTATTTATAATAAAAGGTATGATGTACTCAGGAAGGACAAGCGTATGTCACCAAAGGGGGCCATTACCTCCTTTTGAAAGTCAAGGCAAACATAGATTGAATGAAAATTATATGGTTTTCTTCAATACAGTCGGGTGAAATTGTTCAATTGCTTCAGCAATTCACTGGAGGTTTGTTTACACTGGGTCATAAATTGATTTTTAGGAGTGAGTGCTGCCGTGTGTGTGTGCGCAGGTGCGGCATTCAGTGCTCCATCCCTTGTTGAGGATACGGAAAACGAAAAGATAAAAACAGGGACCACTTTGAGTTCTGTGGCCTGAATGCTCCAAAGATCTGGGGCTTGAGTGGGCCTCAGTCCTGATATGATCCCGTATTAAGCAATAGATCCTCGTGGGACACAAGAATCTCCACAGTGGACAGATAGTCCATTGGATAAGGCCGTTGAAGACTGCTCTTTAGAATCACAGATAGGAAGCGGCTATTAGTTGGCTTGTTTTAAGGAGAGCCAAGGATTACAATTTTGAAGGGTGAGACCTTCACCTCTCATTCTATTGTCTATGGACGACTCCGCTAGTGCGGTCACCCCATTCGGGGTCTTGTTTAGATATAAACACACTGGTAAGACAATCGAGAGCAGACTTTTATGATGGGAGAAGGGACCGGCTGGAAATACTATTCTCATACCTTAAAGGCAGTTTGAATTCATGTCGTGCATCGTGCATTGAAAAGATTGAGCTCCTCATGATCTTTTTCTTTTTGGGGGGGGATTTAAATTTTGCAGTTTATTTTTTTATATTTCAGAATATTACGGAGGTGCAGATATTTAGGTTACATATATTGCCTTTGCCCCACCCGAGTCAGAGTTTCTAGCATGTCCATCTGCCAGACAGTGCGCACCACACCCATTAGGTGTGAATATTCCCAGCCCCTCCTCCCCTCCCACCTGCCTGACACCTGATGAATGTTACTACCATATGTGCACATTAGCGTTGATCAGTTAACACCCATTTGATGGGGAGTCCACAGTCTTTTGATTTAAATATCCATGACCTCAGAAAATGAATTGGTTTTCCTATCTTTTTCTTTTTTTGTCATAAAAAAGTGAAATGTGTCGTAAATTTTAGAAATTTGTTCTTCTCCTCTTCCTTTCCTTCTTCTTTATTTTGTTCATAAACATGTGGACAGATGGCCAGGTGCGGGTGGGCTGACACCTGAATCCCAGCGCTGTGGGGAGGCCAAGATGGGGACGATATGCTTGAAGGTCAGGAGTTCGAGACCAGCTAAGCAAAGAGCGAGACCCCAGCCTCTACTGCAAAATCTACGAAAAGAAAACTAGCTACGAGAAAAACTAAAAATATAAAAAACTAATAAACCGGGATACATGAGTAACCGATGCACAATGCCACATGAACTCACGTCCCAGGCATCGCACACTTCGCTCAGGAGGTGCCGGCAGAAGAGCCGATCCTCTGTGAGCAGGAGATCTCAGAGGTCTGACTGGTCGAGCGACGCGCTGACGCCATGCACACTAGCACACCGAACGAACAGTCCCAAGTGAGTCGACTCTGCTCTAAAAAAAAAAAAAGAAAAAAATGTAATAGACACTAGCTCGACCAACTGTTTTCCGCATATCCCTTTCTGTCCCAAGGGTGAAATTTAGTATGGCCAGAATACTCTTAATGCCCTGGGCTGGAAGAAAAGAGAGTGTCCCACTCAGACCACGATGTCTCATCTTTGCACAAATAAAACTGTGGGGACACACACCCTACACCTAAATCAATAACGAATAAACATGCATCACGAAGAAGAACAAAAAACACAAGATAACAAATCACAAACAACTAAAAATCGCCACAACAATAGGTCATGGTGGCACGAAAGGCCTGTGAGTCTGGACACCGTGGGGACACACAATGCAACTCACAAACGGGCAGCGTAAAAACATACCCACAGGCCCTAGCGCCTACCTGTTTCTTGGGAAAGAAAAACAATAGCATGTGCATGAATGTCACCTGGCACTGTTAGGACAGATCTTTATTACCACTAAAGGAAAAGCTGCCCAGCAGCTTAAGCCATGTGCAATAGCTTTATTACGAGAGAGGCACATGTGACAATGAGTCCTGTACCCACGCGCGCATTTTCAATTTACAGGACCCAAAGGAATAACTGAAACCAGTGCTTGATCGCATTGAACAAAGGGCTAGTCACAGAAATATTTTTTAGACTTTAGATTCCAAAGACAAGAAGAGCTCCGAGATCCTTGAGCATGGCAAGGGACTCGCAGGGGGAAGCTTCCATAGGTTATAATGATCAGGTAACAGCAGAGAGCCCGGAGCTGCAGACCAGAACAGACATATTATTGGGTTTGCAAGAAAAAAACTAAGGCAGTTATAGTGTGAAGAGTGGCCACAAGCTAAGAGGATAGGGTGCTAACAACTCAAGACAGGTAGGTATATGATAGATAGATAATAAGATGTTTTGGTAAAATGATAAACAGTAACCATGACTCCCAGCTATCCAGCGAAAAAACAACCTCCCATCTACCGATGTTTCCCTGGAAAACCTAAGCATAGTCCAACACCATGACATGTAAGGCCTAGAAGCTAGCGAGTGTGATAAGAGGAACTAATATACGGAGAAACATAGAATACCAGGTCCAATATCCTAATGATGGAATACGTGGCAGCACAAGAAATGAGCAAAGAGTCCCACACTTCGGAGAATGTTCCGGGCGCATCCTAGTGTGTGGTGGCGACGATTGTGGTTGGTCTGAGCAA